TAGTTGATGATAAGTAAACACATATAGGTAGGAGTGGGTTTTGAGGATACCTCTTGTTATACTTCTTTCTGAAATCAGTCTTATCTGTAATAAAACTTACTTTAAAGGGATTTTGTGAATATGAAACTTTTTATCCCCTACGGTGGCAGTATTGTAGAGAAAGAATGCAGATTTTGAAGCGGAACATGCTGAGTTTGAAATTCACTTTGCTATCTACTAGTTATGTGGTCTTAAAGTATTTTCACTTTCTGGCTTTGTTTCTCCATCTGCAAAATGACAGTACTAACTTCATAGCAGTACAAGGATTTTATAAGGCAAGGCTGATGTTTAGCCAACACAACTTGTAAGACTCTATTGGTGGTTAAAATACTGATTTATTTTCATGCTAGAGGCTTGGTGCACAATGTTCGTGCACTGGGTGGTCCCTCAGCCCAGCCTGAATCCTCTCACATTCTGGGACTCTTTGGGGGATGTCTGCCTTCCACAGAGGTGGGAGAGGCTCCCACCACCAGCTGCTGTGCTCACCAGTAGTGAGCCTGGCATCTGGCACCTCCTGTCAGTCAACTAAGCGGAACTCCAGCTGTGGGAGCACACTGACTACCAGCAGGCAATTCCTGTGTTGAGTGTCTGCCGCCTGGTGGTCAGTACTCATCACAGTGACTGGTCATTCAGTTGCCTAGGCTTTTATATATATAAATGAGTTGGTATGTGGCTACCTCCAGGGCACTTTGTGTAACATTCACTCCTCTCCTGGGACATCAATGACTTTCCATGATCCAACAATTAGAGGGTTGATGCCCAGCACAGTAAATCCTGGCCCAGAAATTTCTACAGATAATGTAATTGTAATGATTATTAAATGTCAATGTAAGTGAAATGTACTTGATGATAAATAAACACATATAGGTAGGAGTGGGTTTTGAGGATACCTCTTGTATTCTCAGAAAAGGTAATGTAAGTCAAATACCTGGTACATAGTGGATATTCAATATATATTCATTCAATTTATTTAATCTATGTATTCAATCTATGGATTCAGATAAGGAATGGTCCTCTACTATGGTAACATACACTTATTCAATATATACTTATTGAGTCATATTATTATTGAAGGTCTGTCGTCTGCATTTAGGTAGAACTCATTGTTTCTCTGCCAGCACCAAGGAGTAGGAGCTCTATTATAATGCTAAGAAGGAGTTAAATGTTCAAACATCAGAGTCGCATGATGTCTTTCATGAATTCTAGTCTCCTTGGCTTGGCTCCATGTGATTACATGGTGTGGCAAAATAGGTGTGCTTAAAAAACTCTTCCATGTGTCTCCCTCTCTGATCACAAAACTACTCACACTACTAAACACTTCCGGTTATCAAATGCTTTCTATATGGTTTGAGCCCACATACATCATCATAAACATTCTGTTGCAAACATCCTTTTGGTCCTTTCTCCTTCTGTTGTACTTGTTTGGCAAAATTCCTACCCTGGCTACACTCAACAATCTGTCTTCCTCTTCTTCTTCTTTTTTAAAAAAATATATTTTATTGATTTTCTACAGAGAGGAAGGGAGAGGGATAGAAAGCTAGAGACATCAATGAGAGAGAAACATCAAGCATATGCCTCCTGCACACCCACCACTGGGGATGTGCCCGCAACTAATGTACATGCCCATGACCGGAATCAAACCCGGGACCCCTCAGTCTGCAGGCTGACGCACTATCCACTGAGTCAAACCAGTTTCGGCAACAATCTGTCTTCTTTATGCCTGCATCTGAACTGTCAAACATCTTTAAATATTTTAAATCCATGACCTTGATAAAATTTATGACAAAGACCTTACCCTGCACATAATAAATTAATAGGTAGGGCCTGTGGAAGGAGCTAGAACCTGTAGAAGGAGCTCTAGAGCAGTGCAATCTCTTAGCATGAGCAGCTGTTAATCCAAAGGTCAGGGAGGAGCTTTTGTGGGTGATGCCAAGGTTGTGAGTCCCAGCCTCACTGAGGGTCTGGCTTATGGTAGTTCGTGTGCATGGCTTGCTATGTCTGAACATACTGGATTACAATCGTTTCTTTTTCCAGAATAAATTCTTTTTGGAATACTTAATTGATTCTCTTTGATAGTTGACAAACTCAACCACCAAATGAGTTCCTAATGTTGCTCAGAAGTCCTACTGAATGGTTTTCTTTAAAAAAACAATTTTCCACTCTCAAAGATGTCTGTTTCATACCTTCTGTCTTCTCAAATATCCAACTCCCTTCTCTTTACCCTCAGCTGATACTGCCTTTTCTTTACCAAGAAAATAAAGTTATCAGACAGGAATGCTTCCTTATCTTTAAACTTTCCGGTAACTATACCTTTCTTGCAACTCCTATTATAAATGAACTTTTTTGTCTCTGAGAACTTTTAAGTAATCTAAGGCCCCTCACGTGCCCTTTGGAACCCATGTGATTTTTCTTCTCAAGGGGTTACCTCAGTTCCTTTCTTTCATATCAATCTTAGTAGCTTAAATAGAAGATCTAGTACAGCATTGTCCAATAGAACATTTTGTGATGCTGTAAATGTTCTGTATGTACTGGACAATTCCAGTATAATTGCCACAAGCTATATGTGATAATTGAGCACTTGAAATGTTGAGGAGGCTAAAAGGCTAATTCCCATGTAACCCTGATTTTTTTTGGGGGGGGGCTAGCAATTTGAATCCATGCCAGCAAGCCTAGTGTACATTCTTGATAACCTATAATTAAGTCACTACCTCTTTCCCACAAACTGGTCTTGCAGGACCTGTTAGAGGCCATAAAACTGTGGACAGTGCACTGCCCTGGAGAGGGTTATTAATGCTGGCACCATGCCAGACCATCAGATATGACCTGGAGACCCCCAACACCTGGAAGCCTTCTTGCAAATCCCATGAAAAGGAATGGAAGCATAATCCATATTTGAGGGACAAAAACCCCAGAAAGATATAAGAGAAGCTCCCTGCATGTTGCTTTACTCAGACTTGGGAAGTTATTCCACTGAGTCCACTGGCATATTAAACTATAAATTCCTTTTCTCTAAAAGCATTGGTTGGTTTTTGTTTGGTCTTCTGCAACAATGTGGTATGACTGAGGAAGTGAATTTTTAAATTGTATTAACAAAAAAAACAACCATTCAAACTTGTAAAAAAAAATTTGTGAGTGTATTTGAGCCAAATTGTCGACATATGCCATATGCCAGGAAGCAGTACCTCAATGGATTGAGATAGTGCTCTGAAGAATGGCGGGTTACATTTCTATTTATACATTGCAGTCAAAGGAGGGACATAGGTGGGTTACATGAAATTCATTGGTGATGGATTAAGGAGGCGGAAGAAAGCAAAGTGGTGGGAAACCCCTGGGATTGGATAAAAAGTAAAATGATGGACATATACTTAGGTGAATGCAGGAACAATTAACATGATAAAGAAGGAATTTGAGGCATCTGTCCTGGTGCCCACCACATTTGGTTGTGCCCCAGGGGCCCCAGAAAAGGGAACTTACAAGTTACCCAGACATCTCACAGATAAGTTATCTTAGAGGCAAAAAGGCAAATGGGCTCAGTGAAGAAGATCTAAGTTGATCTTCGTCAGGGAAAATATCGGCCTAGGACATGACTACCCACTATAACCTGTTTTTAGTTTAAATATTTAATTTTCAAACCATCTTTTGTGGTTATATTAGGTCTCTGAGTTTGCAAGACTGCTACACAGGCCTCCCCTGAGCTTGTCAGGTTGGCATGTGGCTCCTTTTGTTCACAATTGTATTTAACGTAATTAATGTAAGTACCCTTATGTGGCTAGTAGCTACCATATTAGACATTATCTCTCCTAATGACATCCTAATAAACTAAATTTTGACCTTCTGTTGTCTTCAGCTCCTCACCTCCTATTCACTCCTCTTTCAATCTAGCTTCAAATTAAATAAAGTGTGTGATCTGCTTTGGGTGACACCATAAAGTTCATAAGTCTAAATTCTCCCTGTTGCCAAGTCCAATTTATTAGTATAACACAATGTTCACCAATGCATCATCAAAATCTTCCTCCAAATTTTCTGCTGGAACACCACATTCTTATGTTTTTTTTCTCCTACCTTTTTTTTGGCTCTTCCTTTTCAGGCTCCTCCTCCTCTCTCCAACTTTTAAAGGTCTATGTTCCAAGACTCATTCCTTAGATTCCTTTTCTTCTTCCTTAAGATTTTTCCTTCATGCAGTGGGCAGAGAAATGGAGTTATAAATTACAGAGCTTCCCAGTGCAATTAGAATATAATCCAAACTCCTTTCCATAATTAAAGTGCCTAAATGACCTGCCACCTGTCTAACTCTTCCACCTTCCGTTCTCCCTGTTATTCACATAATTCTGGCCTCACTTGTCTTCCCCAACACAAGCAGTTCAGGATTTTTTAAACACATTTTCTGTTTTCGTGGGACACTATAGTCTTTCCTGATTTTGCTCTTTCCTATCCTTACGTCTTGGTTTAAATGTCTCATCTTCAGAGGTCTTCTCTGACTACTTTCCCCAAATTACATTCATCCTTTGTTATGCCTTCAAAGCTCACACTGCTAGTTGTACTTATTTCTTCTTTGTTGCTATTTGTATTTATTTACTTATTCGTGTGTCGACTTGCTCAAGTCGGCTGCCTCCCCCACTGGAATTTTAAATTTCTTGTGAACAGAGACCATAGATTCTGCTTTCTCCTGGTGTCGCACCAGACCCCAACACAGGCCTGACCCATAATGCATCGGTGAAAGAACCACGGACAGAACCGATAAATGAGCGGACAAAGGAGCAGGTTGGAGAGGGGGCCCCGCCTAGGAAGCGCCGCCCTCGGAGCAGTGGAAGCCCCTCCCCTTCCGGCAGCGACGGGGACGCCCCGGCAGCCTCGGCGGCGGGGCCGTGGCGGGCGCCGGCTCGGCCCGCCCCCTTCTGCTGTCCCGCCCCGTCCCGCCCCGTGCCTCCGCCAGCCGGGCTGCTGTCAGAGAGACGCAGTGTATGCTGAGCCGCTGTGGCCGCCTGCTGCTGCTGCACGACCTGGGTCTTCATTTCCCGCGGGTGATCCGCCGGCCATTCTTCCTCTGCCCTCACCGCCTCATGAAGCCGCTGGTCGTGTTCGTTCTTGGCGGTCCCGGCGCCGGCAAAGGGACCCAGTGCGCCCGCATCGTGGAGGTGAGGCCCAGGCAGCTGGTGGTCTCTAGGCTTAACCAGACGCCCGGCAGAGCTGGTCCTGTTGCGCCCGGAGGTCCGCGCCCCCCGGAGCCGCGGAGCTGCGGACTACGAATCCCGGCGACCGTCGCGCCACCCGCGTGGCGGTGGTTGGGGGTCCGCCGGCGCGTGGCACGTCGGGAGTGGTAGTCCACATCCGCCCGCTCCGGGGGCGCCGGGAATGGATGGGGACTCCTTGGGGTCGCTTTGTTTCTGCACCCTTCTTTCCTTATATTTTGGGACAAAGTTCGTCTTGAGAGTGGGCTGGGAGAGGGACTCCGAGAGGGTTAGCTTTAGGGACCCTCGGCGCGCAGAGGTCAGCGTGTCACTGGGCGTAGAGTAAGTGAAGGCAGCGGGAGCCGGATTTAGGGCGTGCGCCCACAGCTGCCAGGCTGTAGAAGAGACCGGTTTTTCTGCTCTGTCCCACCCCGTGGGCTCTCTAAACTTCGAATCCTCAACTAATCAGCCTTTACCCTAGAAAGGATTGCAGGCGGACAGGCTGTTGGGTTAGGTGTTCTGTGATCCGCAAGCAGCGCTCTCTGGCCCCTTCAGTTGGCAGTACCAGTCCTGACACAGCCTAAGCTGGTGTGGTTGGAAAAGCCGTGGAGCCCAGTTCTGAGACCAAGCTTCAACCTCAGGTCCTGCTGCCAACTCACGTCGAGTTCATGGCCAAGTCACTTCCTCTGAGTCTCAGTTGCCCTCTCTAGAACGTAAGAGGCTCTATACCTTGTTTTAAACTCAGTATAAAAATACCTCCCAACTCTGAAATTATGAAATTGTGTTACTTTCCAATTTTTTTTTTCTTCAAGTGTTGAAAAGTTTACCATTTCAATTCTGTTAACCCTTTTCAAACAGATACTTGGTTACCTCTGCACTGACACTGAGAAATGCTATTGGAGAGTCTGGGGGACTATTTGGGAGAGAAGGAAAACTAGATACATAGAAACAAGAGGCCGCCAGGAGTGCTGTGAAACTCGGTGACCAACAAAAGTGTTGCCACAGAATTTATAAAATTCCCTCCTCTGTTGCATGCTATGGCTTATTTTAACTTTGGGCCTTTACTCCTCTCCTTCTTTGTTCACACAATTCACTCCTGTCCTATATTTTATTCTCTAAAGAACATCCAGAAAAAGTCGGATGGTGATATCTACTTCATTATATATTCTACAGCTGTATTTATCATTATTGACTATTTTTAGGAATAAAAGTGGAACTAACTCAACCCAAAAAATACTTAAGTATTTTTTTTCATCTTTGTTGGTTCCTTTTACTTTTTAGAAGACAAGTAGTCGATTGGATGATTTCATTCTTTTATGTATGAAATGACTCATGTGTAAATAACATGATAGAGGAAGGAGCAAAGACTTCAGAGTCAAACAGATGTGGGGTCAGAGCCTATCTGCCATTTACTGTTTCTTTAGTCCTAGACAAGTTGTTACTTTTAGCTTGAGTTTCTCTATAAAAAGGAAGAAATATTATCTATCTATAAATTATTAGTTTATAATTTAGTAATTGGTATTTGTGAATATTAAATGAAGTAAAATCTCTGGCACACATAGATGGAAATAATTTTTTTTCTTAATGTTAGACTTCCTGTATTTAATTTATGAGATTGGTTATTTTTACTTTGTAGTAGTGTTAATTTTTAAAAATTAACTTAGGACTGTTATATTTGAATGCATTTAAATATTTTGTTTTTGAATCCTAAAGTGGCTTTAATTGCCACACCCCAACTAATAATACCCATATTACTGCACTGGATTAAAAATAATCTCTGCATTCTATAACTAGTGTTTATTCTTATTTCTGGTCTGTAAAGGCTGATGACATTTTAAACCTGTTATAAGATTTCCCTGATGAGATATGTTTTATAATTATTATCCTATTCTTTAAGATTTGAGCAGTTACTTGAGCTTAAGCTGTTTTAAACTGTTATCTTCCATGAAAATAGTTACTCTTGGTTCTAATTGCCAAAAACATTAAGTTGATTTCTACAAATTCCAAATAGTTTATAATTTAGTAATTTTATCCCCCAGTTGATGCAATAAACAATGGAAGTCTATGGTCATTTAAATCAGATGTTTTTTATTCTTTCCTTTATGAGTCCCTTGTATTTTGACTGAATACTTTATTATATAGGCAAACAATAACAGAATCCCAAAAGATTGTAACTTTTGGAACTGAATTTTTTCCTGTAGGGAAAAAGCATTATAAACAAGGTTAAATTTCCCAACTCTCATGCCATTGCTAATTTAGCTCACAGGTGCCCTGAAATGTAGCTGAAATAGAATTGTTTCTTTGGGAAAAGTACACTGATTTCCAACTCAGGCTGCCAGAAGTACATTTTAGGACCCTGGCTACAGAACCTAAAACTATCTGGCCCTCTAATGTCACGGGCATTGCTTTTAGGAATGAGGGTTTAACTGGAGGGAAGATTGTATGTATGTGTTTTTCTGAAGAGGAATTCTACCTCTACTACAGGCTCTCCCAGGTCTTGAGGAAGGAAGGGCAAATCTGATAAATATCTTCTGAAAGTTTCTGAACTGGGAAGGAAAAGTTTGAGGGGTTTTAGTTTTGATCTTTCCCATTTATTTGTACTGGTCCTTTTCAGTTTTGCTTTATTTTCTAATTGTTTCTATTTTATGTGCCCTTTCACACTCAATTTGTTTTTGAAAATCAGCCATTTTAAAAATCAGTGCAACCCTCTTAGAGTCAGTGTTTAGAGTAGAATTATTGTGAAATAACTTGTTACTAAAAAATCCTGGTGAGGATACTGCCTTATTTTTGAATTTTTTAAATTAAAATTTATTTATATTGTTTTAACTCAAGAAAAATAATGGTGTCATAACCTCAACTTGTCTTGAAAATAAGAACTATAGTTTTGCATGTGGTAGCAGGAAGTGATGGTTAAACCAATTCTCTTTTAAAGATGGTGAACATTTTACATACATAAACAAATTATACTCAAGTTTATATCCATGCCAAATTGCTTTCTATAGCACCCCAACAAAATTCTTATCTTCTGTGTCATAACTTCCAAGCTTTGCAGGTAACTCTACCTGCTGTCCTTAGACTGAGGTGATATTGACTTAAACATGTAGAAATCAGAAATTTGATTTTACTTATTTTTGTGTCTCAGGTGTTGAACATTGTGTCTGGCACACAGTAGGTGCTTAATAAGTATTCTTTGAATATTTTGATTTTGATTTTTTTAATATGTTTTTAAATTGATTTCAGAGAAGAAGGAAGAGGGCGAGAAACATTGCTGGGCTGCCTCCTGCACACTACCTACTGGGGATTGATCCTGAAACCCAGGCATATTCCTGACTGGGAATCTAACTGTAACATCCTGACTTATAGATCAACGCTCAACCACTGAGCCATACCAGTGAGCTCTTTGAATATTTTTAAAGGATACACTTTAAGCTAAAGATGTAAAACTTTTTTTTTTATTTGATCCCCAGGGGGCGCCCAAGTTGCAGTTACTAGTAGCTCTCCCAGTTTTAAGATAGAAGGTTTTGAAGAAAACCTAGCTCTGTCTTACTCAAGTTTCTTTGTGTAGCACTTCTGTCTATTCTAAGTTAATAAAAGGGATAGTTGTGAAAACCTGAGCATTTTAAAATTTCCAAGCTCCTGATTACAAATCCCTGAAGCAGATTATCATTCATAGAATGAACTAGATGGGAAGAACCAGTACACATTAAACTTGTTTAAGAAGAGGCCTTCTCTTTTTGATGTGATAAGGAAGAGTAAGAGATAGGTTTTTGTTTGTTTTAAGAAAGTTTAAATTATCTATAATAGAGTTAGTCCACAGAATTCTTGACTCTTCTGAAGCACCACCTTTCCATTAAAGTGGTTGTAACATAGGACCCCTCCCCCCCTTTTTTTTTAAAGAACCTGGAGGAATGACTATATTCAGATATTACTATCCTTACTTTTGAAAGCTTCCTCATTCTTTTTGCCTTTCTATTTGAAGTTACCAAAGTTACATAGTAGTTGGGAAAGTTAATCTTCTCTAATTTGAATCACTAGTAATATTCTTAGAAATAAAAATGCAGCCCTAGTTGGTTTGGTTCAGTGGACAGAAAGTTGGCCTATGGACTGAAGGGTCCCAGGTTTGATTCCAGGCAAGGATACATGCCGGGGTTTCAGGCTTGATCCCCAGTAGGGGGGTACAGGAGGCAGTCAATCAATGATTCTCTCTCATCATTGATGTTTCTATCTCTCACTTCCTCTCCCTTCCTCTCTGAAATCAATAAAAAAAATATTTTTAAAAAATGCAAATACAATGAAACCTCTTTTTTTAAAAAAATATTTTTATTGATTTCAGAAAAGAAGGGAGAGGGAAAGAGATAGAAACATCAATGATGAGAATCACTGATCAGCTGCCTCCTGCATGCCTCCTACTAGGGATCAAGCCCGAAACCCGGGCATGTGCCCAAACAGGGAATCGAACTTTGACCTCCTGGTTCATAGGTCAATGCTCAACCACTGAGCCACACCAACCAGGGCTGGTGGTTTCATTTCTGATAAAAGCATAAGATAAGATAAAGCTATAAAAGTGCTACTGGAAAAAAAAAAAAAAAGTTCAATTGACCCAGAAATACTTCCTGAAGCAAACTGCTGAATCTGAGTGCAGGAATATAAATTTCTAGGGTTTCTCAATTTAGAGTGGAAATGGACACACACTTAATATAATTTCATGAGAAAAGATATGAAAGATTTTTGCAAATATTAAAATTAAACATTAAATTGTTTTAAAACTTGTTATCTTTTAGTTTTGCCTACCTAACTAGATTTCAGTGTCTTAAGACTGGGTACCCTGTCTTTTCTGTTCTTTACTCCTTCTACTGGTGTTTGAAATGCCTGCTAATCCTTCAGATCTTAATTTAATACAGAGACTCCCAAAGGCTAAAGATTTCCTTAGCATTTCAGGAATTTTTTTCACAACCATGCTAGTCCAA